TAATTTGATTGATTTAATTTTCTGTTACTGACTTTTGACTTTTTCCAATAATCAAAAGGAAACAGCTGCAGGTTTTTCCTCCTCATGGCCAGTAAGGGGCGCTCTCATTCACTCTCATTCTATACTGTTTGCCATCAGCTGGTTCACTGATTCAATCAGTACGTCTGATTCTTTAAATCAACACCAACGCTCTAAAGCCTGACCAATGTTTTCCCTCATTTTGCTTCTTTTTTTATCCTTCCACACTAATATCCCACAGAATCAGAGAGATATGAAGTAGAAGCCTTTTCTCAAAGCTTCTAGGGTCTGCTAAAGCCTAAGCTCCGCCCCTCCTGAATTCAACCCCATATTCCTATTAATGCAGAATCCATTGTAACCAGGAGGAAATATGTATCTATTCTGGACCTGTCAAAAGGTATGAAAGGTATCTATAAACAATATATTTATATTTTACAGTAAAATGAATGAATTTATTTGCACCACTCCACCACTGAGGATGGACTGAAGGTTTTGAGGTTGATTAGAGATTGAGGTTTTCTTAGAGTCCTGCACGCCAAGCAGAGGGTCTGACTCTCATTCTGAGGCAGAACTCCTCAGACATCATCAACACCTCCTTCAACCTTCCTGCATCTGTGGAAAAATCACTGCAAGAAGTTTCCTACTTTGCTCATAAGGGTCATTCATTAAAGTGAGCCGTTAGAGGAGACGCTTTAGAAAACTCCACTCAGAGTGAGCCGGTAAAAAAATTAGAAACCCATTTACGTCTCTGCAGGGTCACCGGTCTGGCTCCTCCTAACAAACGCAGAGAGCCCAGAGAAGAGACGTGTCTGTTGGTTAGTTCTTTGCCTCAGATTTCCCTGGACTCTGGGAACAGGTGGGGAGCAGCAGGGAGCGGCGGCGGAGCCTTAATGACCGTCATTACTCACCTCTCTCTGACGCCGGGGCCAGATCAATGAAGCTTCGGCACTTCTCACCTGAGAGGGTCGGAGCAGAGAGGGATGGAGGAGAGGAAAGAGAGAAGATGACTCAGCATCAAACTGGAATCAGTTAAAATAACACATTTATATAAAAATAAAAAAGCTTTGGAATCTAAAATCAAAATAACTACAATACCTTTTATGTTTATGTTATATATTACATCATATAATGTTTAACCAATAGTCATAAACTGTAAATGAGGCACATTAACTGTTTAGTTGTACCTGTTTACAGGGGCGGATTTAGGAAATTTGGGGCCCTAGGCAAAGACAGACAGGGGGCCCTCTGAATTGAGAAGACAACACATAAACAGACCCATTTTAAAGATAGAGAAATGTTAATAGAATAGACATCCATTATTTGTTCTAGGTTCTGTCCCTCTCTTCTTGTTTTCCTCTCTATGTTTTGTACTCAGCTGTTTTCGTTTTTTGTACTCAGAATT